GATCTTATTAAATATCTCAGTTCAATTTCCCTCTGTTTCTGTTCCTTTGTTTCTATAATAATGACTTTTGGTATGTTTACCAACATGACTCCTTGTTATTCTTACTTTGCTGCTGCTTGTATTTGGAGTACTGAACAAATGTGGACTGTTTTATTCATAAATTTATTAAAATCGTCTTGTAAAGCGTATGGTTTTGTCGATTTTATGAATTAAAGAGTGAAAGTAAAACGATTTCTCAATTTTATGAAAGAAAATAAATGTTATTGGTTTAGTTCAAACTATTCAAACAAAACCTACCAAAAGCAAACTATTTGAAGAAAATAATTACGTATGAATTGCATAAGGGGTGGACACCAGGGCGATTCGGGCCAAAATATCCAGAACTGACACAAACCGTTTGAATAAAAATGTGCTCCGAAAGTCCGAAACTGCCCATTTATTCCTTTGGTTACAACGGGTGACAAGTTGATCGGGTGCAGGCGAATCGGATGCGAGTTTGACTGCATTGACATTGAAGCTTGTTAGAGAGTATTTTTTAACTTGATTGAGAGTATATATTCACGAAGAAAAGATTATGTCTTTCATATTTTTTACAACTTATTGATCCCACAAAAAATCTTACATTTTTACATATCATTAATAATTTATTTATTAACTTAATTTCTTATTAAGTTATAAATTAAGAGTTTTGTATACTACTCTTTTGTAAAATATTTTTAATTATACAAAATAAAATAAAAGTATTTAACTAAATTAAATTTTATTTAAAATGATAAAACTAACTAAAATTATGCAATTACAACAATATAAAAATTACTAAGTTAATAAAAAGTACATGATTAAAATAATAACTAATTTTGTAAGTTATCACGCCCAAAATATTCTTAGATGCTCCACAAAATCGGCTTAAAGTTGATGATAATGTTAATTATCACGAAGAAATGTTTTTCTTTGTAGATATGATGCAAGGTTTGAATGAAAACCATTGTATATGTCATTTGTTGAGACATCATTGTTGGAATGTTCATAAAAATAATCAAAATTAGAATCATGTGTGTCATTCATCTTTTACAATCATGTTATGTAATATGATGCATATGTATAATATATGATTGATTGTATCCATGTCCAAGCATCTATAGGACCAAGTATAATTGCAAACCGAAATTGAAGCATTACAAATGCACACTCTTCTTGATGTTGGATAAATAATTTTTTTTATCTCCTTGTGACATTGGGATAATCTTAACCAACATAGTTCATTTTGGATAAATATCATGTGCTAAATAGTACTTCATATAATAGAGTTCTATTCACCATATATTGCACTTAAAGATATGAATACGTCAGACTTTAAATAAGTGCATATGATTTAACCTTTTTAAAGTATGACCTATTTAATAATAATGTTAGGTTTAAACTTAAAAAAAATTATTTATTTAAAAAAGTTGGACTTAAGCTTATAAAAAAAAATTTGTTAGACAAGATAGGTCAATTTATTTATCTATATAATATAATAAAAATAATATACATATTACATTATTAAAAATATAATTAAATGAATAATTTTGTAACATAAAAATCAAATTATTAATATTTTTGACATTTTTACTAATTTAATTAAACGTTTTAGATTTCTTGGTCATACGAAATCAAGAAAATCTAGTAATCGCATCTTTATCTACTCTTTCTCTTTATCTTCATGATTGTTTATTTGGAATATCCCAAATGAGTTATAGGAAATATTTAGAATTTTTTTGGATAAGATTATCTTATTTCATTATACTTGTGTCTGAGTTTACGTCAATGTATATGAGTATGCATGAGTTGCCCCTATTACGTTAATTTTTTTTTATTAAACTCTAAATTTTACTAATAGAGTAATCTATTTTTTTCTTATGAAAATTAAAAAAAGACTCACATGTATTTAAAAATAGATTTGTTAGTTTATTTAAAATTAAATTTATTGGCATATATTATATTATTAATGTAAAATAGGTTTTGCATAGACTAATAGGTAAATCAGACTTTTAAAAAGGTCGGAGCAGATCTAAAAAAAAAATTATGGTAAATAATTGTTGTAATGTAGTCTTATTAGGACCACACCATCCAATTTGATTAGTCAAACTAGAAATTGGTTAGCCAATCTTTGAAAGAATCATAAAATCATGGGCTAAACGACTAATTTGGTGCACTTTTACAAACAAATTACCAAAATGGGGTTGTTTTGAAACATATTACACCTTTGGGGCTGTTTTCATGGGTGTCGCTATGGCCCATAGCGACACCCATGACACGTGGCCTTTTTTTTTTTTTTTTTGGTTGGGCTGGGATGAGTCAGATGAGTGTCGCTATGGGCTGAACCACCACAGTTGATGGACTAGGAAAAATAATGTAGCCCATAGCGACACTCTGTAAAGAAAAAAAAAATGAAAAATTAGTGCAGTTATGGGCCATAGCGCCCCAGGTTTTTTTTTTTCGTTTTTAAAATATTTTCACATTATATTACTAAATTTTTACAAATTATATTTTTTCTTATTTCAATTCTTTTTTTCGCTTTTATCCGAATTTTTTATTATCAATTTTTAAACAAATTTTATATTTATAAAATAATACTTATATTTTTAAAACTGGCGCTATGGTGGAGCTATGGGCCATAGCTCCCCAGTTTTTTTTTCGTTTTTAAAATATTTTCACATTATATTACTAAATTTTTAAAATTTATATTTTTAAAAATTTCAATTCTTTTTTTCGCTTTTATCCGAAATTTTTTTATAATTTATTTATCAAATTTTATATTTAAAAAATATTAGATATAATTTGAAACAGGCGTTATGGGCCATAGCGCCTCAGTGGAGCTATGGGTCATAGCGCCCCACATTTTTATTTTAATTATTATTTATACTTTAATTATTATTTTTGAACAAAATTTATTTTTTATTTTTTTTATATTACATTATTTTTATTCGTTTTTTCTTCACATAATTTTTTCTATTTTTAAATTTATAATAATATATTTTTTATATTATTTATATAAATATGGTGTTATAGGCTATAGCGACTTCAGTTTTAGCCGAATTGAATCGCTATAGGCTATAGCGACTCCTTAAAGGTCTCCACCAGCTACAACGACTCTACTAATATGGCGTTCATGGCTTATAATCAGACCCGAAATTACCACGTGTCATGGGTGTCGCTATGGGCCATAGCGACACCCAAGAAAACAGCCCCAAAGGTGTAATATGTTTCAAAACAACCCCATTTTGGTAAATAGTTTGTAAAACTGCACCAAATTAGTCGTTTAGCCTAAAATCATGTGTAAAAGAATCCATTAAAACTAAGATGAATTAGTTTGAAATTCATCAAGAGCTAGTATAGAAAATTGGGTTGAGTCGATCTTTTTTTTTTTTAAATTATGTTTTTATTTATTTTCTAAAATTTTAATATTTTATGATAATTAAATAAATACATTTAATAATAGTTAAAATTAGAATAAATTATGTTATTTATTATTTTTTAATAATTTTCTTATAAAGATATTTTAGTCATTTATATTAATTTATAATTGAATTAAATATATTTTTAATCCCTTAAATTTATGATAAATTTATTTTTTATCTCTAAAATTCAAAACTGTTATTTTTAGTCCCTATAATTTTTTAAAAAAATATTTTTTTAATTTCTCATATCACCAATAAAATATATGAAAATGACAAATTGAGACAATTATACAATATCTTTATCAACTTGATTTAATATAATATTTTCACTAATAAAAACATCATTAAATAAATTTTATACGATAATATTTAATAGATTCCTTAATAAAATTTAAGTATAAGAACTTAAATAAGATTTTTTTTAAAATATAAAGACTAAAAATAATAATTTTAAATTTGAACGATCAAAAATAAAATTATTTTAAATTTGAGAGACTAAAAATATATTTAAATCTTTATAATTTTTATATCATGATATTTTATATTATATTAATTTAAAATTTTTCTACTCTAAATATAATATTATTAATATATTATTATATTTTTATTAAATTTAAACTTAAATATTATATTTGAACTTTTACATGCACTTTAAAAAATAAAAATATATAAAATGATGTTTAATTTTAATTTTAGTTTTATAAAATTATGATATTATGTTTATGTAATATTATTTTGTGTATTATTTAAATATTAATATTATTATTATTTTATTAATACATGTTTAACTATGGTTCAACTACGGTTAAACCATTGATCTTTCACCAGTGCCTTGATTGAGTTGGTAAGTTTGAGTCTAACTTTTGTTAAAAAGATAAAATTTGAACCTAACTTACTTGTAAGCCTTTTTTATAGATTTGAAATGGTCAATTTACTAACTTGGTTTGTATTGTAAGTTTATTTTAAAACTTATTTTGTAATAAGGCTTATAAGCAAAATAGTAAGTCTATGGACCCTAGTACGTTTATCAAATTAAGTAGACATATTAATAACTATATACTATTTTAATATTATTACAAGTAACATATGTAAGTAATATATGTATTATGTACAATAGTATAATATAATATGCATATAAATAGGTCAATTTATCATATTTAATAGATTATTTAAGGTCTAAGACTTAACTTTTTTTTTTTTACTTAAACACATTTTTTAAAGCCTAAACTCAACTTTTTTTTTTTTTTAATAAATGAGTCAAGTTACATCATGTTATGGAGTATATGACTTTTTATATATATATATATATATAGAAGAATTGACTTATTGCATTTCATTCCAAATAAGAGTATCTATACAAGTAGATATAAGCTCAAAAACATGGTTGCTAACATATAATCATGATGCCTTTACAAGAGTGTGGGCGAAATGATTAGCTTGCCTCTAAATAAAACTAACCATATGGTTTGGAATTCCTCCAAGAACTATTTTTCACTTAGATAAAGTAAGTTGAAACTCAAATTAACCAATAAAATTAGTATGAAAATCATCGATTAGTGATTTGCATTTCATCTCTATAACAATATTGCTAATCTCAAGCTCTAATAACTAATTGGATGCTTCTTGTAGGCTTGTTGTTTCTGCCTCTTGAGGTGGAGGAATACTTGCATGCAAAATTATTTTTGCCTTGACGAAAAAAGTCACGCCCTTTCTAATATAAATACAAATACCAAAATAGTGCTTCATTGAAAATGATAGCATCAACATTACATTTGAGTTTGTTTGCATTTGGTTTTTGCCATGAAAAGTGAACAATAGATAGTTGTTACATATAGAGACATAAATTTTTCTTTTCACGTAACTCCAGTCATGAAAATCTTGTTGTGCTAGTCAAACTAAGACACATATAACTTATTTTTAAAGTCTAAACTTGACTTTTTTTAATAAATAAGTCAAGTTGCATCATATTATAGAACATATAATCTATTTTTTTTTATATAGAGGAATTGATTTGTTTCATTTCTTTCCAAATAAGAACATTAATAAAAGTAGATAAGCTTAAAAACATGGTTGCTAGCATATACTCTTGATGTCTTTGTAAAGGTGTGGGTGACATGATTAGCTTGCCTTCAAATAAAACTAACCATATGATTTTGACTTCCATCGATAATTATGTTTCATTTAGATAAAGTAATTTGAAACTCAAATTGACCAATAAATTAGTATGAAAACTATCGTTTAGTGATTTGCATTCCATCTTTATAACAACATTGTTAGTCCCAAACTCTAATAACCAATTGGATGCTTCTAGTAGACTTGTTGCTTCTACCTCTTGAAGTGGAGGATACTTTCTTGCAAAATTATTTTTGCCTTCACAAAAAAGCTATGCCCTCTCATATACAAATACTAATACCAAAACAATGGTCTTCATTGAAAATGGTAGCATCAAAAATGCATTTGAGTTTATTTGCATTTGCTTTTTGACATGAAAAATGAGCAGTAGATGGTTGTTGCGCTATGAGGATGTAAAATTTTCTTTTCACGTAACTTCAAACATGAAAATCTTATTGTGCTAGTGAAACTAAGACACACGGACTTATTTTAATACCTTCCTTAATCTTTTCATTCTTGTGGTGCCAAATACACCAAATTACTATAGCAAAAAGTATTATTTTGTTCCTGAGGCAAGTCATGTAAGAGGCAAAAAAAGAAAATTATGGATACCATTAACAGTATAAAAAATTTTAATAGTTCCAAGACTCGATGTCTCCCAAATACAAATGACATGTAACATCCAAAGAAAATGTGCCAATCATTTTATCAATTTGTTGAACAGAAAACACATACATTTGAGTAAGAAACACCTTTGGTTTGAAGATGATGTCTAGACAAAAGACAACCCGAGGGAATTCTCCATAAAATGTGCTTAAAGGGTACAAATGCCAAAGCTACATCTATTTCCTAGAAATTTTCACAATTTTTTTTCTCAATCATTATCTCCGTAATATGATGACAAGTTGATTTGATTGAGTAGCAACCATTTGTCAAATTCTAAACATGTTTATCTTCACATGTAACATGTAAGAGTGGTAAGTAGAAAATTTTGTGAGCATCTCTTTGATAAAAATGATAAATGTTATTAGGGCACCAAGTCATAGAATTATGATTAATGAGCATACTGACCTCGAGGTGTTAAAGCCATGGTGAGGAGTAAACATTAACCATTTTTTCGTTTCCTAGATGCCATTTGATGTCATCCAAACATTAACCTTTTTCTCATTTCCTAAACACCATTTCATGCCATCTTTTACCAATAACTATGAAGCATGGATGCTATGCCAAATAAAAAAATCCTCATTAGGATAATGTTTTTTCTTTGAAAACTTGAGCAATAATAACATCATGATCAATAGTATTCTAACTTTGCTTTCCCATCATGGTCAAGTTAAAGTCATGGAGATGTAAAAAACCCAGCCACCAAATTCCTTCCCTAGATTCATTTTTTCCTAACTAAGCCAATGAATCCCTTTGCATTAACTTCTTTTAGTAACCCACCAAAAAGAGTTAAGCATCTTTTGAATCTCTTCTTCAAGAGTTGTTGGAAGGAGGAAAATACTCATGCAATAAGTAAAGATTACTCGAGCAACAAATTTGATAAGAATTTTTTTGCTTATTCTTAAGGGATTATTCCTAGACTAGTGATGAACATGCTTTCAAATCTTGTTTTTAAAAAGTCAAAGAAAGCTTACTTCTCACTCCTCACCATAAAAGGAAGACTAAGATGCTTATTGGTACTAAGACACTCCATCACACTTAGGAAATGTGAAATAATGAAATAGAAAAGTATTGGTGCTAAAAAAATCTCATTTTTTTTAAATTAATTAATTGGTCTGAAGCTCTTCCATAATTGTCAAGGATACCTTTTAATGTATTAGTCTTTATTTTTTCTTCTACTCTACAAAAAAGAAAACATTCATCAATAAGTCAAATGTGTGTGAGGATGGTGGCCCCTCAACACATGTTAATGCCATAAATATCACCTATTGCCTTAACTTTTTTTGAGAAGAGAACTAAGGCCTTCAACACAAAGAATGAAAAAGTAAGGTGAAAATAGGTCACCTTGTCTTAAACTTTTTATAGGGTTGATAAGATCAATACATTCTCTATCAATCACGATAAAGTATTGTATTTATTCAAAAAGACATTTGCATCTACCTAATTAATTTTTTATGAAAGACTAATTTATTCAAAAAATTTAAGAGATAAAATAGTAACTTATATTATGATTAAAAGCCACTAATATTTATTTTTAAAGCAACCTCACCAATTTTTCCATTAATTTTACAAAATATATATGTTACTGCTCTTCATAACAATAATTAAGTCATTACTCAAAATGGAACGTCCCTAAACAAAAGTAGATTGCTCTTAAGTTCATTTTACGAGAAAAGGTGAGGTGGTTTGCAACAACATTTGAGATTTTATAAAAGACATTACAAAGAGAAATGGAGAGAAAGTCCTTCATGGTAGTATGGTTTGTTTGTTTATTTTTAGATTTTCACCCTCCCTTATAACTCCAAGGATGATGAGATGTTTATTGAATGACCAAATATTGCCCTTTTAGACACGTTGCATGTTGAGTTGGTGAAAAAATTATAACAAAAATGTTTCTTGATCAAGTTAAAATATAGACTCCTTTCCTTGGAGGTCTTACACTCGATACATTAATTCTTTCATTTAAACCAGCAAAATTTATATAAAATATGTCCTTCATTTTATACTAAGGTAGAAATAATACAAGAAATAATTTAAATATTTTTTCAAAAATAATAAATAATAATCTTCAGGTAGAAGTTGAGTTGAGGAGAGGTGTGATTGGCGTGAATGAAAAAATGGATGGAGGCATGTAGGTTTCATTTTAGGTTTAAATATGATTAATAAATTTGCGAAAAAGAAAACGGAGGTGAAGCATAAACGGGGAACGGAGAAGCAGAAGAAACGGAAGCGGTGTATGTAAAGTAGACAGAGGGAGACGTAACCCAACCCAGGCCCAACCTGAGCCCGTGAGCTGTGAGCATGACTGTGGCAGTTTCTAATCCCTCTCTGCTCTCTCTTCTCTTTCTGCTACCTTAGATAACACTTCCCTTCGCCTCGATTCACAACTATACTCCTCTCTCTCTCTCTCTCTCTGCGAAACCTCATGGTCGTTTAGCGCAACCGTTCTCGGAGAACATGACTACTATCTGCTCCGCCGAGCTCAATTACCTAGTTTTTCGCTACCTTCAAGAATCAGGTTTCTTTCCCCTTCCTTCTTCTTTCTTAGTCTTCCAAAATCCATTCATATGTCGTGTACTTCTCTTGTGTGTGTCTGTGGCGGTTGGATGTTGCCAATTACCTAGTTTTTCTGTGCCTTCCAGAATCAGGTTTTTTTGCCCTTTCTTCTTTTATTTTCTTTGTTCGTGTTTAAAATCCGTTGATATGCCGTATACTTGTCTATTTTGTGTGTGTATGTGTGTTGATGTAAGATGTTAAGGTTCTAGATGTTTCGACGAGTATCGTTTTTTTCTTCTTCTTTAATTTGACATTTTCGAGCTGGTTTTGGCGTTTTTTGAATGTTGTTTCAACAAATTAGGGTTAGATATTGCTGAAAAAAGGAAAATTAATGACGCCGGAAAAAAATGGTCTTTCACCTTTTCTTCTTCTTCTTCCTGGTTGGAGATATAACGAGGACTGGAAATTGTTAGATCTGCCGCTGAAAAAATTGATTTGGTGTTTACACTTGATATTTTGAAGTTCTGAAATTCTCTGTTTATTTTATCACGTTTGGTTTTTAATTAAGATACATTGAGACTGCAGTTATATGTTGATAATGAGGTGGTACTGCTGGTTTTGGTTTCTGTTCATTTTATGCTGTCTGAGATGTGTAAAGTAAACGATGCCTAATTATTTGCTGTTCTTACTTTTAATATGTTGTGATTGTGATTGATGTAAGCTGGTAATAGTATTACTGAAGGATAGTAAATTGCTGATTGTGAAAAAAAGGAAGCTTGATGAATCTTTGAGCTAAATGGAACCGAGTGCCTGAGGCTACTTAGGAAATGAGTCTCTGTTGGTTTGAAGAATAAATGTTTGCTTGGTCTTTAGACTAACTTCTGTTGTTCAGAACCACATAACATGTGATATTAAGTATCTGTTCGTCGTAGATATAAAACTGGAACTGAATGCTTGCAGAAACTTAGGAAATGACTCTTGGTTTGTGTGAAGAATAAATGCTTGCTTGGTCTTTAGACTAACTGTTTCTGTTCATAAGCACATAACCGGCGATATAATATCTGTGTGCTGTTACCAAACAGCTTAAACTTTTGGGTGAGTTGGTATTCAATTCGGTATTAAAATATTCTATCCCCTATGACCAAGTTGTTATGTGTTTGATCTTTGCTGTCTCCATTCTGCTAAATAAAAGTTGAGTTTTGCATATGGTAAAAAATAAACCGTTGCATTTTACACACTGCAAGCCCAATGGGCTCTTTTTGTGATGGACTGATGGGGCATGCTAAAAATATAATAAATCTATGAATTTAATTTAAATACATCGTCAATGTAAAGGTTGTCTTACACGGTCATCCAATTAAAGACTGTCATGTATGATAAAATTGTTGACTTATATACTATATAGTAACTACTTTAAAAGCTATACCAAAGATAATTTCTTATTAGTTGATTTTGTAAAAATCTCTATGATGATAGTTCTTGAAAAATTGATTTATTTAATATTCATGTGTTCACTTAGTAGCTTAAGCCTTTGAGAAAGTTGGTTCTTGATATGGTAACAAAGCCTCTAATGATTACATGATTAGGAGTTTGATCCTTGATGCCCCCTTTCTTATGAGTAAAAGTTGAATTTCAATACTAGGTTAGTGAGCCAATGCATTATCTGTGCTTCAAGCTCATATGGCTCTCACCTTAGGTGGTTTGGTGCATAGTAGTCAATAGCGGCCGGAGCGGCCGCTATCGCGGCGCTCCGGAGCGGAGCGGCCTCACCCCGCAATCTGGCTGCTGGAGCGGAGCGGATTTGTGTAGCGGCTGGAGCGGCCGCGTCGGAGGAGGAGCGGAGCGGCCCAAATCGCGGAATCGCGGCGCGATTTCAGACTTACCCTTCATTAAGGGTAAGTCGGTCTTTTCAATGGGGTTTTTTTGCCCTAATCCTCCCTTTCCCTCTCGCGATTTCAGACTCATCCAAACCAAACCCCTCCTTTCGTCTCTCCCTTTCTTCTTCTCTGGCTATCGTGCGTGCAGCGTGCAGCTCCGACGAACTCCGGCTCCGACGCACCTCCATCGCCGACGCGCCTCCAGCTCCGACGCACCTCGGACTCCGACGCGCCTCCAGGTCCGACGCAGCTCCGACGTGGCCGCAAGCTCCGACGCGCGTTTGTCTTCTATTCTCCTTCTATTCTCCTTCGAGGATGCCTTTTATGCAACATGCAACATATTTTTTTTTAATTATTTATTAAATTATTTCAACTGATTTTTTTTTAATTTCTGATTTAATTTAATTGAACAAATTTTATTTTTAAATTCTGATTAAATTTAATTCAACAAATTTTATTTTTAATTTCTGATTAAATTTAATTCAGCAAATTTTATTTTTAATTTCTGATTAAATTTAATTCAGAAAATTTTATTTTTAATTTCTGATTAAATTTAATTCAGAAAATTTTATTTTTAATTTCTGATTAAATTTAATTCAGAAAATTTTATTTTTAATTTCTGATTAAATTTAATTCAGCAAATTTTATTTTTAATTTCTGATTAAATTTAATTCAGAAAATTTTATTTTTAATTTCAGAAAATTCTATTTCTATTTCAGCAGCATATTTTTTTTAATTTCTGATTCTATATATATATATATTATTAATTATTTTTGTTTTTTTAGCTTTTATATATATATTATTAATTATTTAATATATATAAATTAATATTTAAATAGCGGTTATCCCGCTCCGCGTCATCCCGTTATCCCAGTTTTAGGGTCGGCCGCTCCGCGCCGCTATCCGGGATTGACTACTATGGTTTGGTGTCTGGAGAAGCCATATTAAGTAGATTAGATTAGATGAGATGGGGTGTAACCCTTATACTGGCCCAACGAAGCCCTTTATTTCCTAAGTGTATGTGAGAAGGGTCATAAAGGAGAAAGGAGCAAGTAATTCCTTAGCGGTAGTGTGTGGAATATTTTTTGGGGGTTTGGGGGGATGAGTGAGAAAAGTTTGATAACAGAATAATAGTGGTATAAGTGGAGAGAAATGGGAGGAGGTGGGTTAGGTTGGAACTAAGTTGAACTTGAGAATGGTGTGAGAATTTAGTCCTCTCAGTTCCTGAGGAGTAGTTCTCTTATTTACTTCCTCGTTTATACTGTAATAGTGTTATATCTCAGGATGTTGTCCTTAATTCCAGACCTGAATATGTAAATAATACAGATATTTTCAGCCCTTATTTCTATCATTACTCCATACGTATCAAATCACTAGAGGTAGAGGAGACAAAAAAAAAAAAAAAATTATATAGTCAAAATCATTAAGAAGGATTTAGATATGATTTACAACAGAACATTATTGCATACATTGTTAAGACATAATTGCTGATATTGATTTCACTTTTTTAAGCTTTGATATCTGAAGTTATTTTGTAATGGTAGCAATATGTTGGTGCCATTGTTGTAGAGGAAATGAGTAATCATATAGACTAGGGTATTCATCAGAATTATGAAAACTTCATGAGGTTGAGTACGTAATTTGTTTACTGAACAATAGAAAGTCATGCTTTCCATTTATATGAAGCTTTTGATATTTATGAAATGGCCATATAGCCAGCAAATTAATTGGTTTACTGATTACTTGTGTTACATCACTACTGCAGGTTTCACACATGCTGCTTTTACTTTTGGATATGAAGCTGGTATTAACAAATGCTCCATTGATGGAAATTTGGTGCCACCACATGCTCTTGTTACATTTGTTCAGAAAGGTCTACAGTACTTTGAAATGGAAGCCAACTTAAGCAATGTTAGCATTTTCTACTTTTTTTGCATTCTTGATTTACTATCAACATAACATTCATCCATTTGAGTAGACCTTTATAAGCTTTTATACCCTAGGTTTCATGTTGATCAATGTTTCTTTTAAGCCTGCCAGTGTGATGCCGACCTGGAAGAAGATTTTTCATTCTTACAACCTTTGGATCTTATCACGAAAGATGTGCATGAGCTTAGGCAAATGATAAGTGAAAGAAGGAAAAAACTACTGAAGGAAAGAAAGAAGGAATTTGAAAAGGAGCATGAAGGTGAACGTGTACGGGCAAGAGAAAAGGAAAGACGTGAAAGAGAGAAAGAAGTTGAAAAGGATAGACGCGAAAGGGAGAAAGAAGCTGAAAAGGATAGACGTGAAAGGGAGAAAGAAGCTGAAAAGGATAGACGCGAACGGGAGAAAGAAGCTGAAAAGGATAGACGTGAAAGGGAGAAAGAAGCTGAAAAAGATAGGGAGAAGGTAGAAAATGATAAAGAGCGAGAACAACAGCATGGAGATCAGTCTGCCAGAGAAATGGTCATAGATCATGAAGATAGGGTTCATGTAAAGCATGAAGATAATGGAGCAGTTGGAGGTAATCTTCTGTTCAGTGGAAATGACTTACAGTTTATTGTAGAATATGTTCATTCTTGCATGTTTGGTTCTTAGCTGCATTTTCTTACTAAAATCTGTCCTGTCAAATAATTCCATTTTCCTTTGTTATCCCCTATTTTCTGTTCATCTTTACATGTTTCTGTCATTGCTTGCTCTGTCTAAAATATATAATATATTTGCTTGAATATTGTGGTTGGGTTATGAAGCAGGAGTGGTTTAATGACTAGTGACAAATGACTAAAATAATAACCCTTGATACCGTAGTTTTCTTGCAAATATGATTTTTTTAAAAATAACTTTATCCTATTTTTTTTAGATTGCTTATTATAGTTGCAAGTGTCTACACCACTAGAGTCCTTTGCCCCTAAATGTTGTTAATAGGAGTAATTCATTGTATGTGGCAGTGTCACAAAAAATACAGACTAGCGGTCTGTTTCAATTAATATCCTTCCTTCATAGGAATTTTCCATTTGCTTTAATAGGACCAGAACCAATGGACATCTCTACAACATCAACATCTCAGCTATGTGAAATTCCTAGTTCAGATGTGACAATTTTGGAAGGTCATACTTCAGAGGTTAAGTATATCTTAAGTGCTGCTCTTGTTTCTTAATTTTCTTTTCATCTAGCATTTCTTCTGTTAAACTCTCTGTTAATTGGCTTGTTCATCATTTATTTTAGGTGTGTGCTTGTGCATGGAGCCCTACTGGATCCCTTCTTGCATCAGGGTAGGCATTAAATGGATAATGATTTATTTTTGCATAAATATGTATTAAAATGTGCATAACATAATGGATAATGCACATAATATCATGCATTTTGGATTACCATTTGTTTTTAATGCTTCCATTTTTGTTTGACTTCCTTTATTATCGAGGAAAGCTTAATGCATTCAATTGAACCTGTTTGGAAACATTGTTATTGTTAATTGTCATTCAATTTCTGAAACTGTTAACTTTTTTTTTTTAGTTTATAAAATGGAAAATTAAATCGAGTAATTAACATGAATATTTTTTTAAAAACCTGGTGTTTCTGGAATTAAAATGCTTTCATAGTGCACTAATGTTTTAAAATCAATGGGTGCTGGCAAGTCCTTTCCATTTGTAAATGGATTTCATGAAGAACTTTCAAATGATTTAAATTATTTAATGATATCCAATTAGTTTCATTTCAACAATTTTCACTAGCATCCAGTATTCAAGCTTAACTATTCTTGAAATAAAAGGACAATGGGATCTCTGTTTCTCTAGTTCTCCTTTTTCTTGGCCATTTGAGCGTTCTCTTAGAAGTTATAGATGCAAAAGTTGGCTTGAACTTTACAAATGGGTTATGTAAGATATGCAATGTCTATCGTTGAGAATTGGTTAAACTGTGACAGACATTTGGATATCAAGAGTAAGATGAATATTGCAGTTTATTCATTATGAAACTTATGGAAATGTACAATAGACAGATGCAATAGCACATGATTATTTTTGTTCAAATTTGCAATATTTCTAATAGTCACATGCCTTTTCATTTTCCTTATACATTATATTATATATACGTACGTACATACATACATACATATATATGTGTGTATATATATATATATATATATTATTTGGAAACACTTTTAAGGAATTCTTCTGAACTTTTTCTTAATAACTTCTGAAATTAAAAATTGTTTTGATAGAGACAAATTAGCTTGAGCTGGATCACAATGCTTCAAATTTTATAATTAATAAAGTTTTGAAGTTGTTTGTTTGTTTGTGTTAATGGACATGATAGTTTACATTTAAGATAACGAATTCTAGCTTTACTTTTCCTTGTCATACAATTTTATAGCTTATCGTTGTTGCAATGCCATGCACTTGTTTCAGTGCTTTTCTTTTTTGGGTTCTGAAGCACTTTTAAAAGTTACTTTAATGATCATGCCTTTCAATATTGTGATTTTGAAAATTGAATCCTGATTGATGGCTTCATATAATATTTTTTTTCACTTTCCCATTATCATTCCAACTTTTAGATCTGGGGATTCGACAGCTCGTATTTGGACGATAGCAGAAGGGAGATGTAAGCCTGCTGCACAGAGTGGTCCTCTGAATGTGTTGGTGTTGAAGCATGTTAGGGGTAAAACAAATGAAAAGAGTAAAGATGTCACTACACTTGATTGGAATGTGAGTTCAATTGCATATTATGATTTAAATCCGGGACTACTACTTGTATTTCTATGTTTACCAATGCTGTATTTTTTGGTTCTTTGTAATAAATTCTGTAAAGCCCTCCACCCTCCCAATAAAATAGTAAGGGGGTAATACGATAATTTTCTATACAAAAGTTATTATCATATAATAAGATTTATTTACAAATGAAGAATCCTTCAAAGCTAGACTTAAGAGTCTCTGTTAGATAAGTTAAAGAGGAGGGACCACTCATTCACCCAAGTATTAATATTTAATAAGCATACTACTTTTTTGACTTTAGATAATCACAACAGTTTACGTTTCTATAGGGAAATCCAACATTAGAATCTGTTTTTTAAATTAGTTTTCAAAGTTTACAAATACATCTGTAACAAGTTAGCTCAAACAGTGTGGTTATGTTTTTAAATTGTGTTTTTCTTCCTCTCCTTTTTGTGTCTTTACACTGGTTTCTTCAGCCACATTCAAATAATTGTCTTGGGATTTTTTTGTAACTCCCATTTTGCAGTGGGAAGCAACCTGCCTTTGTTTCCCTATTTTAATTTTAGGTGCACCCTTTATTCAGCAATCTTTCTGTCTATTGAACCTGAGAAGTGAGAAGATATCATTTAAAATTGTCCCTCCCCTGAAATACTTCATGAAATGCAAGCCTGATTCTATAAATCAATTTCTTTTTACATTATTCTATGAAGCCATGAAGTGGGTGCTTTGTATTCAATCATAATTCTCTTCGTTCCCCCTTTTCTCCTAAGATAAACTTGTTCCCCACCTTCAAAAAAAAAATAAAAAATTCTTGGGTATTAATCTTGTGACACTAAGATGTTTTTTAAGGTTGTTATCTGTAATATTTGCTAGTGATGTTTTACACCTTATGATGGAGAGTTCACTCTGGTGGCTGTTGTACAGGGGGAGGGGACACTTCTTGCAACTGGTTCATATGATGGGCAAGCAAGAATTTGGACCACTAATGGTAGGTCATTTTTTTTGTATCCTTAGATTTTGTTGTATCCTTTAAAGGTTTATATGTGATAGATGAAAAGAATGAAAAAATGCCTTGGGATCATGTTTTTGTTTGCTGTTATCGTATTGGGGTGCTTGAGAATTTTTAGCTATCTTGGGAGCTTAGTTAAGTGTTCTGGGGAGGTGGGTGATTGCTCCCTGTTTATGTGTACATTTACTTCTACAATCATGATTAAAAAGGAAGAATTTGAATTATTATTTGCATAGTGGTGGCATTTTAATGGTTAATCTTTACAAATACTGACTACTTGTTAGTCCTGCAACGTATTGGGGTGGTTGAGACTTTTTAGCTATCTTGGAAGCTTAGTTAAGTGTTCTGGGGAGGTGGGTGATTGCTTCCTGTTTATGTGTACATTTACTTCTACAATCATGATAAAAAAGGAAGAATTTGAATTATTATTTGCATAGTGGTGGCATTTTAATGGTTAATCTTTACAAATAATGACTACTTGTTTGTCCTGCAATATTTTTGGTTATGTGAAGTCATAATCATGTCAGTGGTCTGTTGATCATATAGTAGCTTGGTGATGCAATTGTGCTTTCTTATATCCAAAATGATTGCGAGCAACATTAATCTTCTCAAGTAATGTTTTTCAGTCAGAGAATTGATTTACTGAACATCAAACTGATTGATTTGAATGGTAAAGATATTATACTTTTGTCTTACAATTAGTAGTTTATGCTGGCTCACATATACACTTTATTTTTAAGTGTTTATTTTTCTATCTGTCTTGTTGTGAGAGTATCTGCAATGGGTATATTAATGTCTGATATTTGTTGTTGCATTCATCCTAGTTGTAATGACACTGAGTTCTACTGTTGATGTCTTTAAGTAAACTTTGGGTGTATTTGAATTTTCTTTAGGACTTCAATCATGGTAGTTGTTTTGATCGTGTGGTGATATCTATGACTAGGTGAACTGAAGAGTACATTAAGCAAGCACAAGGGACCAATATTCTCTCTGAAGTGGAATAAGAAAGGCGATTATCTTCTGACTGGAAGTTGTGATCAAACTGCAATTGTGTGGGATGTGAAGGCAGAGGAATGGAAACAACAATTTGAATTTCATTCAGGTACAAATTTTGAATGTAGAATCAAGGAAGAATTCTCTAAAAGAGCTCTTGGTGAGAGTTTTCTGAAACATAGTCACATAATTTGCTCTATATGGAAGAACTGTGAATTGGTTCATGCGAACCAATTTGCGGTAGTTTTTCAAACCTATTCTCTGAAATTCTTCATTGAATTCTTTTGAAGAAAAGAACGAGAAAAATAAGGCAGTAATTGATAATGCTCCATGAACAGTGAAGAGTAGTGAAAAATAGGACTGGGTGAAAGAGAAGAGGAAGACAAAAGGTGAAAAATAAGACAGTGAAAGAGAAGAGAAAGATGATTTTTTTTTTAATTAATTCAGAGGAGCGGTGTTGGTTTTAAAAGTGATGTACATTATTCTTGATAATGCCAATGGCCCACGTATCAGGAGTTGTGCTGGTTTATAAGAGACGTGGAGCATTATTCTCCTTAAAAGGGTGCTATTCCTAATTGTTAGTAGAATTCAAATACCATTTATAATCATTTAAAAGAGTTGTAGTGTGTCTGAAAATCTATTTTTTTTAACGAAAACGTAAAATCACTCTTT